TTTTGGTTTAGTTTTAGTTACTACCACCTACCCCCCCCCCCCTCCCTCCTTGTATGTATATATATATATATATATATATATAGTACCATGAAACTAACAGGAAGCCCTATATAAAACAGAGATACTATTAAGGTTAAATTAACACTGATCTTTAAATTTCTTACACTTGTTGTGCACATTGTACTAAATAAACTTTCCTAAGTTGAGAAAAAACTTAACAAGCCAACTGTACAAGAAAATTTAATTAGTCTATGTAAAATATTTGCCACCAGACAGCTTAATGCACATGTAAAACAAAGTCCTGTATTTTGGGTAAAACTAAGAGATATTTATAAAGACTATAAACAAAACTTTAAGTGATATGAAATATTTCAACTCATCATTTTGCAAGCTTTTTTTTCAAAACAGAATTATCTTGGTAGCATTATTACATCTGCATTGATGAAAACTATATAATTACAGAATGTGAAATTTACTTCTGTAAAGTCTGTCTAGTACTACCCACAGTTAAAATAAACACACACCAAATAAAGGATCACACTTGTAGCTTTCCATAAAGAATGAAAGTAGGCCACCAGCATTCCACAAGTTAACTAATTCAATGTATGAGTTAAATGCCAACTATCATAAACTAAAATACATTGAATATTTTAACTGTTAAAATAAAAAGTTTCAAATAAATAAGTACATCTACTAGTACTTCACTTATGATTTCTGCTGTTTTATCACGGATTGAAAATAGCAACAATCAAACATTTTTTGTGCACTGAAACTCATGCAAAAATCATAGTCTCTACTATAAACTGGCTTACCTTTCCACCAATGCGGACTTGAGCTTGCAGCTTGCTTAACTTTTCAGCATTCATATCTACAAATAAAATATTCTGTTTAGAAATTTATCATGTCAACTCACTTTTTCTATATAAAATAATTTTTTGACAAAAATAAAAAAATCTAACTTAAATAAGCATAGTATGTATCATATTCCTTTTCTACCAAAACTTAAAAAAAAAAGAGACATATGTTGCACTAACTCACTCTATTCATAAATAATATCAAACCAGACAATTTCAAGATAATAAACAAATGATTTCTCACAACTTTACTTGGTTTAGATATTGTTAGTTCCAGGTGCAAAAATAAAACTTCTTCAATAATAAAGATCACTCTCATCTATATAGATTCATTAACAATGTAAAAAATTAATGGTCATACTTTTTATTTTCACATTACAGCATAATATGAAGACAAACATTTTTTATATTCAGTAAATATTTTTTTGGTGTTTTAGTGACAAAATATATTAAAAGTTATAATTTAAAAAACTTTTAATATTGAAAACTACTATCAATATACAATAATATTTTTCTAATTCTGTTAAACTTTCATGTTAACATACTCTCACAATTTTAATAAAGCATACAGATTTAAAAAAAGTTTACCACTGTTTTTTTTCTTTTAAAAACAAAATTCTAACTGCCAAATCAAATTGAACATGACAATAAATGAAAAAAAAAAAAAAACAAGCTGTTAAATCCACAATTCTCCCACATGAAAAATTAGCTTATGTTAACTCTAAATGCATTTTCTGGCTTGTTTTTTTTAGTTCTCTCACACATATTAACTTTTGAAATAAATTTCCAATTATAATGGTTTGTGTTGACAGTTTAGATTCTTCTACATTTTTCTTATAAGAAAGTGAAAGGTTCATAATTGGTGGACTGGCATTTCAAATTTAGTTTTGGAAAAATGAAAACTTCAATGGGCTAAATAAACAGCCTTTAATAAAATTTTCTTGTTCTTTTTCTTTTAACTGTAATCTCTTAAATAATTTGATATAAATTTAAATATTAACAAAAATTAGAATATATGTTGGAATGAGAAACTTCTACAGCCTATTTACTTAATATTCCCATGTGTTGTAAATAGCACTAAATATAAATACACAGTTTCTTTTAAATGTTCTCAGAGAATGGGTCAAAAGTAAACTATTCTCACAAAACACATTCTTATAATGAATTTAATACAAGAGGGGAATGTCAAGGAGCATGAACAAGTTTTGAATATAAAAATGGTACCTATTTATTAAATAAGTGAGAAATATATTTTAACAAGAAAATAATTTTAGAAATTAAGACTTAAATTTGGGAGTAAATTCAAATTGACTTTAGAAAACTTTAATACTTTCTGGTGCAGTGTGTCTATGATACACTTTATAGATCTTATTCACTAGTTTTCAAATTAAGGAGAAAACAAATTAGTGGATGAGCATATGGCAATTGAAATTTTAAGGCGGTTAGTGATAAATTATTTCTCAGCAAGTCCCCTTCACAAGAGTATAATTTCTTTATTTTTAAGGTATTTTTTCTTTGTACTAAACACTGAAGTAAATAAAGTTTGTGTTTTTTTTTTAAACTTTATTTTTTACCTGCTAGCAAACAATTGTTGCATAGCCATATTACATTAACAATACTTAATAAAACACCATAAAATTTCAAATACTGAATGAAAAATTACTTATGCATAACTAATCAGCAATACAATTTCATACATTAAAAACTTATTTTATTAATATTGTAATTTATTTATCAAATGTCATGAACGCTGTCTCTCTCTATTCTGTATTATAGACTATACTCTATAGTAATCTAGTGTAGGAAGCATAAAAATTTATACCCAACATACCATACCTCTTCATCTTTCATCTATATTGTAAATTAAAATATAATGCTGTAAATTGTAATAATATACTACCTGCTAGTACTGGAAAAGCTAATAAATACTTAAAATAGTAATACATGAACTTATCTAACAATTTCATATACATGTTAAATATCACATTATCAGTAACAGTCGTAACTGCAACACAAAAGATGTATCTTTAAGTTTAAACTTAAAGTTAAGCCTCAATTGTGTGTAACTGCATAATCAATAAAACATACTTGAGTTGAAAGAATTATTTCGAAGCTTTATCACTTACGGATTAATTACGCTAATATCTAGCCTTCAAGCTTCAACAATCTGAGTAAGTGTTAAATACCTAAATTAAATGAGGTTACTGTATAATAATAAATCTGAGTAAGTATTGAGCTTTTCAAATTAAAATTAAATGTACTTGCAAACATTCCACTTTTTCCAGTAAAATTTATAACTCAGTTATAATAGTACATAAAAGTATATTATATACTTATAAAAAATAGTAATATTTTAAATCCAAAATAATTTCCTTGTTCATATGTACAAAAAATAAATTCTTGAACATAAATCAATTAATATCAAATGAAATATTAAATACCTACTTTTCCCGACGAGTAAAGCGTGACCGACACGAGGGAAAGATGGCGAAAGACAAGTAAAGAGGCGCCCTCTCTATAAACATACGAAATAGTAGTCTGGAAGCAAGGGATATCTGTGCTAGCCGTCCCTAATTTTTGGTTAGGGGGGGGGGGGGGGGGGGG